GTTCACGCCATTCTCCTGCCTCAGCCTCCCGAGTAGCTGGGACTACAGGCGCCCGCCACCTCGCCCGGCTATTTTTTGTATTTCTTAGTAGAGACGGGGTTTCACTGTGTTAGCCAGGATGGTCTCGATCTCCTGACCTCGTGATCCTCCCATCTCGGCCTCCCAAAGTGTTCTCTAAGCTTTTAATCAGGCAGCAAGACAGACTGTTAATCTATGGAACTGGGAAGTCTGCCCCACTCTCACGTGCTGGGAGATGTTTCGTCCGGTCCCACAGATAGAGGGATTGATTCCTCTGTACCCTACTGCTGCCACCCCGCACTGTCCGGGCTAACTGTGTGAGCGGGACGCAGACACTTCAAATGGGAGTGAAAGCTGGTGTCTCCTGTTGATCTGGAGGGCTTCCCTAAAGATGAAGGACCAGAGTCCCTGGAGAGTTGTCATCACCTTGAAAACACACGGGGCTTAGACCACTGCTGTGACCCTTCACCAGCCTGTTTGCCCAACTCCTGTTTGACACAGCAGGTTTTGCTGCAGCATCGAGTCCAGACTTGGCATCAAGGTCTCAACAAAAAGCTCTCACATCCCTGCTCCAGCCTCCCACCTGCTAGGGTGCCTGATGCCTGATGTTTACAAAGAGATACTGACGTGCTTCCAAGAAGTGGTTCCGTGTTTCCTATCCTAACAATGAGAGTAAGACCTGTGGTTTCATCCATAAGGAGATGGTTCCGAAAGAATATACTGCAAAGCCATACTTCATGCTGAGCTCGTAGCAATTTCAGTGTGCAGTGGATTCCGTTTATGTATCCTTATGTATTTGTATTTGTCTTAATTCTAGGAGTACCAAGAGGACAGGAATGACCTTGTGATTTCAGAGACTGAGCTGAGACAAGTGGCTTACATTTTCAAATGTGAAAAATCAACTCTTCAGATAAAAGGGAAAGTAAACTCCATTATAATTGGTAGGGCAGAATTATGGCTCTATGGTTATTATGACGTTATAGAAACAAGCTGTATGTATTTAGTGGAGTTGTTTTTTTGGTGTGTTTTTTTCTCCCCCCTAGACAACTGTAAGAAGCTCGGCCTGGTGTTTGACAATGTGGTGGGCATTGTGGAAGTGATCAACTCCCAGGACATTCAAATCCAGGTAAGCAGAGCCTTTCCAACCACGCTGTAAGCTGTGGCCTTGCACAGACCATCCACTCCGCCTGTAAGAAGGAGCCTTGCGGCTGGTGCAGTGACTCACGCCTGTAATCCCAGCAGTTTGGGAGGCCAAGGTGGGCGATCACAAGGTCAGGAGAGCGAGACCATCCTGGTTAACATGGTGAAACCCCGTCTCTACTAAAAATACAAAAACAAAATTAGCGGGGCGTGGTGGCGGGCACCTGTAGTCCCAGCTACGCGGGAGGCTGAGGCGTGACAATGGCGTGAACCTGGGACGCAGAGCTTGCAGTGAGCTGAGATCGCGCCCTTGCACTCCAGCCTGGGCGGCAGAGCAAGACTCCCCTGTGGCCACCTAAAATACTCTTATTCCTGTTCCCTCTGGACACAGCTCTATCATCACCCGCTTGGTAGACCCCTCTCTTACTTCTCAGTGTTAGTTCTTTCTTTTCAATCTCTTCTAACAGATCCCATTTTGTGTTTCCATTACTGGCATACCATCTCAATTTCAAGGACAGCTAACTGGCCAGCAT